GCCAGGCACGTGTGTGTGTGTGTGTGTGTGTGTGTGTGTGTGTGTGTGTGTCTCAAATCCAGAGAAAAGGAACTGCAGTATGGCCATCCTCCTTGGAGGTGATTTCTTGCTTTCTGTCTCTCTGTCTCTGTCTTTCCAGTGAGCATACATGCCCTACAGCAAAAATAGTGAACCCCTTCTTTATATAAGAGTCATTCAGATATTTAAAACTCCCCTCACTGGGACTATTGTCTCAGTTTATTATATTTCTCTAGCATTATAGCAGTTTTTAATATTTCTTTGAATCTTATAAAGCTATCTCTAACATTATAAAATAATATGAATTCAATAATCTACATTATCATTGTGAAGAAGCCTGTATAAAATCATCTATTTTTCTATTCTGAAGTTTGGTTTGGTTCTGTATATTGTATGAGATTTTCATTTTGAGGTTTGAGGGAAGATGTTTTCTTAGGAGCACATTGGGTATTGGGAAGCCATTTGGGGTTCTTGCCCCTTTAAGAAGCTGAATTGATTTCTTAGGAAATCTTTCTTTGGGGAGAAAGGGCTATTAGTGCATAAGGTAGAAGTGAGCTGAAGGCCAAGAACATTATGTGCTGATCTGCTAAAATGAGAAACTCAAGCAATGAGAGAAGAGGGGAGAAAGGAAGGTAGACAGCTTTTTTCCGAGAACAGGTCAAGAATGGCTGAGACGCCAAGAAATAATAGCTGAGCTCTCAAGGCAACTGGGAGAAAGGACAGGGGCACTCTTACCTGTCTCTTGGGGGCAAAGAGCACATACTTGACTTGGGGTCTGAAAACTTGGGTTCAAGTGACCCAAGGAAGTCATGTGATCTTTTTGAGTAGTTTCCTTCTCTATAAAGTCTTCGATCTCTATCAATCTGCCTGCTTCTCAAGTTTCTTGCAAGCATTAAAGGAAAATAAAAACACACTTGTTAGGGTAGGTTTTCTATAGCAATATGTTGTTATTGCCTTGTATAACTAAGCCTGAAGTAGGCAGTGTCTTTGTTTAAACCACTTAAATGCCTTCCCTCCAACTGTGGTGAGGCAACATGTAGGACAGTCTTTGTGGTAGGAGTTATCACACCTCCAGATGGGTCTTCATAAAGGTTCCTGAACTCTGACAACCTCTTCCTAACACAGGATCCTTCACTGAGGTTTGTGATAGGGTCTTAGATCACCAAGGCCCTCAGAGAGGTTGCTATGTTGTAATCCTTGTGTGGCATCATGCCCTCACTCTAACCCACGAGTAGGCTTTTCAAGTGGCTCAATGTCACACTGGTCATGTCCTGGTTCTGTCACTAAGAGATTGTAGTAACTGACATAGGTCCACCCCCAGCCTCTCCAGCACTGTAACTGTTAAGGATGGACACAAAAATGGTTTATTACCTGTTGATCACGCATATAGTATTCTCAACTGGACTGGTCTGAGGTATATTTCGTGTTGGATAAATTCTCCATACAAGCCAAAGGATGTATAGCAATTGAATGTATAAGTAATAATAATAACAAATAAGTTAATTTTTTAAAAAAGGATGTAGAACCCTATCAACCACCTCAAGCTCTTCAGATTATTTTCTCCAGAGAATACCCACACCACCATCCCTCACACAGGGTCTGCCTCTCATTTGCTCTGTCAGCTCCTGCAGTGCAGAAAAGTTCCTCCAGTGGGCTCTCTGCTCCTCAGCTTGCCTGCCAAACATTAAAATTTGCCCTAAAGCTAAGCTCTTCAAGACACATGATTTAAGCTTTTCTTTCAGCTAATTAGATATTGTTCTACAAATTGGGCTGTTCTCTCTGAAAGACGAGCTTCAATTTACTTCTCCTGCCCTCTCCTTAAACTTACACTGAACTGTAAAACATGGTCATTTGACTGTTTGGTCCAATCAGGAGATTATTTGGTACAAGGACTAAATACCTGTCTTTGTGTGGATGCTAAGGTTGCTAGGGCATTCTTTAATGGCAGCTGTGAAGATGACTGAAGGCTTTCCTTAGGTGCCTCTCCTTTTGAAGGGTGTACCCGACGGTGACTTATTTTGGCTCATACAGCTCTGATCATCATTTGAATTAACCAATCACTAGGTACATAGACACATTTTCACCCCATAAGGTGATTATTTTTTTCATTTTATTATTTCTTGTTTACATTTAATTATTGTACATCCTTACAACATATAATACGATTTTTCAAAGCATGCATGCAGTGTGTTGTAATCAAATCAAGCATATTACAAAATACATTGTTTTTAACAAAGAACTTTACCTTCTCTTGTCTGTTAAAGGCTTTTTCTGGCCCCACCCCCTACCCCCCACCCACTATCCACCGAGATCTTTATTACCTACATTTAGCTGATAAGAAAACTCAAGCCCAAGGAAGTCAGGTCATTTTTCTAAAGTCAAGTAAAGAGGTAACTAGAAGAGCCACACCTTGATCCCAGCCTTTTGATCCTCAGAGTCTATAAAACTATATATCGCCTGATAAATTCAACGGCAGCTGAAGAGAGAGAATGCAAGATGATGTGGGTTCTCACACCCACGCATTGTTTGAGATTTGTACAGGCTTTCTTACAACACTTGAAGAAGTCCTATGGGCCTTCCAAAACTTCTTCTGGTCCAAGGGGCTCTTAGACATGGTAGAGAAGGAATCTTTTCTAGACTTGCCTCTTCTCCTGTGCAGGGGGCCGGGTGTTCCCTCATCCTCAAGACTGTGCCCAGCATTTGATGAATGGAGACACTCTGAGTGGAGTTTACACCATCTTCCTCAATGGGGAGCTCAGCCGGAAGTTACAAGTATACTGTGACATGACCACCGACGGGGGTGGCTGGATCGTAAGTACAGGCAGCTGCACCCCTGCACACAAATATCCAAGTCAGCCAACCTCAGTACCTGGGGCTCTATGTTGCTTCACGGCCCTGGTCCAGCAGCCCAGTCCTAGGTTTGGCCAGGCAGAGGAAGGAGCTGCATGTAGGAATTGCAGTCCCAAGGATGCCTGCCTTCCCTCCTGCTCCCTCCACAAGGGTAGCTAATGCAGAGGGTGCTGGGAAAGGCAGCAGTGATTCAGCCAGGCCCAGAGATCTGTCTGCTGAGTATCACAGCTTTATGATAGAGAAGGTGAGCCCCTCTGTGGCCAGGCGATCGGGGATTTACACATGGGAGCAGACAAGGGCAGAAAATGGATGGCTGCCTCTAATTGCAAGGCCACCCTCATCCCCATCCTTCCCTGGCTCTTCCCCAGAGCCATCATAGCCTTAGGGAGTACCAGTGGTTGAGAAAAGAGAGTACCCTTTCTCTGTCCTCTCACTGCCTAGAGGGCAGTACAGAAAAGAAGAGAAAAGGCAGCCTTACAAGTGACCCCACCCTCTCAACACAGGTCCCTTGTATGGATGGGAGAGCTCCTGCAGCCTGGCCCTAAAGCAGCCCAGAGCCAGCTGAATCAGGTGGATAGAAACTAGCCCTTCTACCCTCCTCCCTGTTCTCCTCTAGCACTGCCAACACTCAGTGCTGGGTTTTTTATGATGCAAAATGGGTAGTTTTTGAGTAGAAGTTAAATGGTGACTGTGCTCATAATGGCTGCTCTTGGGAGACATTTCTTTTATGTTTCTGACATATTTGTGCCTCCTTCTTAAGGAATAATTGGAAACTAAAGCCAAGGCTGATGTATTGGAGGTTAAATGAAATTAGCACTTAAACAGCTCAGAAAGTGAATGATATGCAGTTGCTTTGCCTGTAATAGAATGATGACAGCTACTAGCTGATATGAAGTTGGTCTTGTTCTTTTGGTGAGAAATGCTTTCTATTGCACTCTGTGGTGCAAAAGATTAATTTGAGAACCAAGTCTATTTCCTCTGACTCTTTGAGGGCTTGTTATGTATCCAGAATCCTTTCTACATTGAAGGGGTGCAAATTAGTGTCAACATCACCCCCTAGCCTATTCATCAGGGGCCTCTGCACTTGAAGCAGAGAGCTCTGAGCAGCTCCTACAAAAAGTTCTGTGTGAACACCAGCTCTGTTCTGAAATGCTCTTTGCGCATCTTTCTCATTGCAGATATAAAACCCAGTTATATCACTTTTACTCATTATGGTTTAATTTTCTGAGCATCTCCTCATTTTTTTCTTCCACCCTCTTTATAGGTATTCCAGAGGCGGCAGAATGGCCAAACCGATTTTTTCCGGAAATGGGCTGAGTACCGTGTTGGCTTCGGGAACCTGGAGGACGAGTTCTGGCTGGGTAACACCTCCGCTTCGCTCTCCCTTGGTGTGCCGTCTGGCTTCTTGTCCATCTCTCCTCTCTGTGTCCATCTGGGATTATCAGAAATCTCGTGTCTGTTGAGCAGTTGACAGCTCGTGAATTGCTTTCAGTACCTTTTGCTCTGTTTGGCTCCACTATTGATCTGTTTTTATCTTATTGTGGTGCTTTCCTCTTTGCTCTGTCTCTTCTCATCCTCATTAATAGTCTCTTATACTGATGGGTCTTGACAGGAGGCAACTACAAAGCGGGTGGGGGAGGGAGCAGGGAAGCAACAGGTTACCGGCCATCTCTCAGGATCCAGGCAACCAGCCAGCCAGCTTGCAGGTCAGGAGGGAAATGAGCCTGGTCCCTCCTCTGAGTTCCTTGGAGAATGTTATTACCCGACTTGGGAAGGAAAGGGAAAAAATGAAAGTGGCATTAGAGGTGACCAGCAATTTCCTGGAGGTCTGACACGAAGAGGAGGTCTAGATTAAGAACTGAATTGATATGAGAGGTAAACACACACCCAAGCCAGCCAGGTGGCGGTGGTGCCAATCCCGGAAAGCAGTCAATTTAAGATTGCTGCATCCCACTCTTGGCTAGACTTTTCAAGTGATTGACAAAGGAGGCAGAGGGAGAGGCATATCATCATGTTCCATATTCATGGTCTCCTCTACCTCCGCTGCCACTGTCTCATTCAAGTCGTATGCCTTCTCCTAAAAGCCCCAGTAACAACACTGGCCTCCCCACCTCTAAGACTACCCTATTGTCCATATGGCCACTAGACTCATCTTTTCACATCCCAAGTCTGGGCAATGGTATGAAGCTTTTCTTTAAAGTTTTATTTTATTCATGATAGAGAGCATGTGCGCTTAAGTGCATGAGAAAGAGAAGCACCCTCAACAGGGCCAGTCATGCTGCAATCCCCTTTCACCAGCCCTCTAGCTCACCAGGATCCTGGGTATGTGCACACACCTGCATGTCTTCGAGCCAGCCCAGAAATCTGATTCTGTGGTCTGTGTTCAGCCATATGGCTTCCAGCACTACAGTTCAGTTTTCTACTGACCGTGCCCCTAGCCTGGATCATTGTAACTCCTCATCACCACCAGGTGAAGACTGAATGTTTTAGCTAGGGTTCAAGGCCCTTTCTAGTCTACCTCTAGACCCTCCTCTCCCCCACCAAGCACCTCACCTGTTCTTCCTCCTGCTCCTCTCAACACCAAACTCCAAACAGCCACAATTACTGAGAGTGCAAAGAATACTCTCAGCCAACTGCCCCCTCCTCCGTACACTTTGGTGTTCACCCACAAATAGTCCAAGACCCAGCTAAATACTTCTTCCTCCACAGAGCCTGTCCTAATCATTTTTCTCACTCATCGCCAGTGGGAGAATTGGTCACTCTTTTTGTGGCTTAAACTATTTTATTTTGTCTTGGTTGATTATACTATGCAAGCATCTTTCAGGGCTGGGATCACATCATAGTCATCTTTTAATCCTATTGCATATTTCAGTTCCTGGGGGTTAGTAGGTACCTAAGTATAGGTCTCGATCAATCCATCGATCAATGGTGAGAATTTATTGAGTACCTTTCAGATATCCATATCTGTGTTTGCTGATGTAGGTAATAAAACTATGGGTAAAAACCATATAAAAACATTGAGAAAGAAGTCAAGCCAATAAGAAAATGCACTTACTTCTGAAGTGTTTGCAAACAGCTTAGGAAACAAGGTTAGCACAGTTATCGATACAGCTATAGCAGACAGGATTCATGTCTCCTAAACCTGAGCCAATGTGTGCCATTTTCACAATTTTTGTCCTGTGTAAAATGTATAATCTATGATGCACTTTAACAGTGATTCTCTCTCCCTGGTGAGAAATGCTTTCTATTGCACTCTGTGGTGCAAAAGATTAATTTGAGAACCAAGTCTATTTCCTCTGACTCTTTGAGGGCTTGTTATGTATCCAGAATCCTTTCTACATTGAAGGGGTGCAAATTAGTGTCAACATCACCCCCTAGCCTATTCATCAGGGGCCTCTGCACTTGAAGCAGAGAGCTCTGAGCAGCTCCTACAAAAAGTTCTGTGTGAACACCAGCTCTGTTCTGAAATGCTCTTTGCGCATCTTTCTCATTGCAGATATAAAACCCAGTTATATCACTTTTACTCATTATGGTTTAATTTTCTGAGCATCTCCTCATTTTTTTCTTCCACCCTCTTTATAGGTATTCCAGAGGCGGCAGAATGGCCAAACCGATTTTTTCCGGAAATGGGCTGAGTACCGTGTTGGCTTCGGGAACCTGGAGGACGAGTTCTGGCTGGGTAACACCTCCGCTTCGCTCTCCCTTGGTGTGCCGTCTGGCTTCTTGTCCATCTCTCCTCTCTGTGTCCATCTGGGATTATCAGAAATCTCGTGTCTGTTGAGCAGTTGACAGCTCGTGAATTGCTTTCAGTACCTTTTGCTCTGTTTGGCTCCACTATTGATCTGTTTTTATCTTATTGTGGTGCTTTCCTCTTTGCTCTGTCTCTTCTCATCCTCATTAATAGTCTCTTATACTGATGGGTCTTGACAGGAGGCAACTACAAAGCGGGTGGGGGAGGGAGCAGGGAAGCAACAGGTTACCGGCCATCTCTCAGGATCCAGGCAACCAGCCAGCCAGCTTGCAGGTCAGGAGGGAAATGAGCCTGGTCCCTCCTCTGAGTTCCTTGGAGAATGTTATTACCCGACTTGGGAAGGAAAGGGAAAAAATGAAAGTGGCATTAGAGGTGACCAGCAATTTCCTGGAGGTCTGACACGAAGAGGAGGTCTAGATTAAGAACTGAATTGATATGAGAGGTAAACACACACCCAAGCCAGCCAGGTGGCGGTGGTGCCAATCCCGGAAAGCAGTCAATTTAAGATTGCTGCATCCCACTCTTGGCTAGACTTTTCAAGTGATTGACAAAGGAGGCAGAGGGAGAGGCATATCATCATGTTCCATATTCATGGTCTCCTCTACCTCCGCTGCCACTGTCTCATTCAAGTCGTATGCCTTCTCCTAAAAGCCCCAGTAACAACACTGGCCTCCCCACCTCTAAGACTACCCTATTGTCCATATGGCCACTAGACTCATCTTTTCACATCCCAAGTCTGGGCAATGGTATGAAGCTTTTCTTTAAAGTTTTATTTTATTCATGATAGAGAGCATGTGCGCTTAAGTGCATGAGAAAGAGAAGCACCCTCAACAGGGCCAGTCATGCTGCAATCCCCTTTCACCAGCCCTCTAGCTCACCAGGATCCTGGGTATGTGCACACACCTGCATGTCTTCGAGCCAGCCCAGAAATCTGATTCTGTGGTCTGTGTTCAGCCATATGGCTTCCAGCACTACAGTTCAGTTTTCTACTGACCGTGCCCCTAGCCTGGATCATTGTAACTCCTCATCACCACCAGGTGAAGACTGAATGTTTTAGCTAGGGTTCAAGGCCCTTTCTAGTCTACCTCTAGACCCTCCTCTCCCCCACCAAGCACCTCACCTGTTCTTCCTCCTGCTCCTCTCAACACCAAACTCCAAACAGCCACAATTACTGAGAGTGCAAAGAATACTCTCAGCCAACTGCCCCCTCCTCCGTACACTTTGGTGTTCACCCACAAATAGTCCAAGACCCAGCTAAATACTTCTTCCTCCACAGAGCCTGTCCTAATCATTTTTCTCACTCATCGCCAGTGGGAGAATTGGTCACTCTTTTTGTGGCTTAAACTATTTTATTTTGTCTTGGTTGATTATACTATGCAAGCATCTTTCAGGGCTGGGATCACATCATAGTCATCTTTTAATCCTATTGCATATTTCAGTTCCTGGGGGTTAGTAGGTACCTAAGTATAGGTCTCGATCAATCCATCGATCAATGGTGAGAATTTATTGAGTACCTTTCAGATATCCATATCTGTGTTTGCTGATGTAGGTAATAAAACTATGGGTAAAAACCATATAAAAACATTGAGAAAGAAGTCAAGCCAATAAGAAAATGCACTTACTTCTGAAGTGTTTGCAAACAGCTTAGGAAACAAGGTTAGCACAGTTATCGATACAGCTATAGCAGACAGGATTCATGTCTCCTAAACCTGAGCCAATGTGTGCCATTTTCACAATTTTTGTCCTGTGTAAAATGTATAATCTATGATGCACTTTAACAGTGATGCTCTCTCCCTCTCTCTCTCTCTCCTCTCTCTCTTTTGAGAGTTTTGTTGTAGGATATGTGTGCTTGCCAGAGAGATAGAGAGACAGAGAGTGTGAAATCACTCCCTCATGGGGATGGCCATGCCACAATACCTTCTTTCCCATTCTTCCCTCAGGATTTTGGGCATGCGTGCACACACGCCCAGCTTAAGTTTGAAGCCACCAGGGCCAGGACTGAAACTGCGGTCAACTATGTGGGAATCATGCTACATAAGCATTATGCCATCTGCTGGTCCCCAACAGTTGTTCTCATACCAACTCTAGTGATTTGATAAACATGCTAGGCACATGTGTGTGTATACCCAAAATGCCAATAGGATGGAGATAAGATTGCAGTGTGACTATGCCCCATTGGGGATAGTTCTCTCTCGCTCTCTCTCTCTCTCTCTCTCTCTCTCTCTCTCTGATAAGCACACTAACAATGGGGAGGGGGTTACAAAAAAAAAGGAAGCCTCAAAAATAAATGCCTTGAACAGAAAACATCATTAGTATACAGGGACTCTAAGCCTGTATTTGCTACTGCTACTAGTGTTAAAAAAGGAGATTAGAAAGGGTTGCATGTGAAACCACCAAGTACTAGAACCACACTGAGACTGAGAATTTAAGTTAGGACCCGGGTTAAGGTTTCTCCTTCAGCTATTAAGAAAGACTGAGATAACTATGTACTGTTTAGTAATCTTGCCAGAATAACACACCTCATGAATGCAAAATGAGTGTTCTAGGGCTCCACCATAGTGGCACAAGCAGGAGGGCTCTCCTGCATAGGGCTAGAGTCACATGGAGCCCCAGGGTCAGTTCTGGTACCAACATAAACAGGCCAAGCATGGTGGCACCTACCTTAATCCTAGCTAACTGGAGGGCTAGGGCAGGAGGATTATTTTATGGAAAAACCCTATGAAACATACCTATCTCTATACTTCTTCTCTTTTTTGTTAAAACATTTAGTGTTCTAAATCCATTTCTGGTTGTATGCAGGATATTCAAAAAGTTCGTGGAAATACATATTCCAAAAAAGAAAAACAACCTTTGCATCGATTGTTTTCTACCAAAATAAACTCATACTTCAATTCTATAAATTTTTTGAAGTCCCCTCATATTAAAAAAAAAAAAAAAAAAAAAAAAAAAGAGAGAGAGAGAGAAGAGGGCCCAGCAGGTGGCTTGTTGGTTAAGATGCAGGACTCCCACATGGTTGACAACGGTTTGAGTCCTAGACCTGGTGGCTTACTTTCTCTTTCTTTCTCTCTCTCTCTCTTTTTTTTTTTTTTTAAAAAAAAAAAAAGGAGAAGGAAACAAAGGCTAAGGCAGAATATGGAAGTACTTTTGTCCTGTCTGCTTAAGGTTCTTTAGTGCCTTAGTCCCGCAGTAGTCCTTGCATTGTCAGAGGTGCCACACCGCACTGGCAAACACTACACTAACTGTGAGCTACCACAAGGAGGCCACAGAGTCCCAGACAAGGAAGACACCAGTTTCTCTGAGAAGACACAGGGGGATGGGTCAGAAGACAAGATGAGGGAAGGGTCAAGAAAAGAGGAAAGACAGGAATCCTTTATTTCAGTTATTCATGGTAAAGCACAAGATAGTAAAAGAGAGAAAGTGCTAAGTACCCTTCTCAGGATCTGTTCATGCCACGATCTCCTTCCTTCCTTCTCTCAGTTCATTCAGGTCAACTGGGTTAGGGATTTGAACCATAATCACCAGCAAGATTCATCTTCTCCTGAGTAGCACATACTGCTAAATCACCAGTCTGGGAATTCTTTTGACTCATGCAAATTGGGGACAGGGAAGAACCCCATCAGAAGTCAGAAGCAATCAGGACAGAAAAAGAAAACAAGGTTAGGTGGGTTGAATGAAGGCACATTATTAAACTTAGAAGTTTGAGAGAGCAGTCTTGAAAGATGATACAGGTAGTAGGGAGCCATTGAAGATTCTCGAATAGGGGTGAGGCCTGATAATGCATAGTTTGGTGGTAATACTCAGGTTAGGGGTAACACTGTGATCCCTGGCTCGTATCCTAAGTTGGGTTCTCTAGGAACAGAAAGTGAGACAGATATTCTTGTTCAAGGGATTTGTTGGGGGAGTCCTGTAAGGAGAAGAGGGTTGGGGAAGCAGGATAAGGTGGAGAAACAGGAAAAGTCTTGGCTGGAGACTTGCTTCAATATGATTGCGAGGGAAGCTCTGGAGCAAGAATTGCTTCTCAGAGTTGGTCTCCACTGGGGCAGGGAGGATGGATATTTGTACCCAAACATTATTGAGGGAAGCCAGTCCCAAGGCATGGGGGAGGGAGAGTATGAAGGGTGAAGGGACTCCAGTTTGATCAAGGGCAATTATTCCTGGAGGCAGCTGCAAGTTGCTGGCAGCTACCACTTGTAGCAGCTGGTGTAGGGGCCAGCAGCCAATGAAAGGCCTTGGAGCATGGCACTGCTAGCATCCACACATCTGCACAAGCACAGGTCTAAGGTAGGCTGTGGGTCGGCAAACAGCCTTGGACATTATCAGCAAGCAGAGAGACATCATGGGAACTCAGAGATCATCAGCAACACAAACTGAGTGACTCAAAGTCTAGGCATGTAGGTCCAGATCAGAGAGTCCTTGGGCACAGGCAACCAAGGCAAGCAGGCAAGGAACTAGGTATGAGAAAATATCACTAAAGGGATTTGCCTAAATTTAGGCTCTGCCTAAATTCTGGGCTTTCAGAGGACCACGCCTTACAAGACTCTCTTAGACTAAGACTTAGGAAGCATAGAGGCCAAGGAGAGAGCAAGTGAATGAGGGTAACTGTCAGGAAAAACCAGTGAGCAGGTAGCAGGTAGACTAGAGGGAGGGGAACTGGAAGCAGGTGACCATATTTTCTCACCTGGCCACAGGAACTACAAGAGACCTAGAGGCTAAGAGAAGGAAGGGCAGTGCCCTGAAAGGTGGGAAGAGCCCTGCAGGCTGCTGGCAGGTGGAAGGATGTTGGACAGCCTGAACACTCTAAACGCTCTGATCCCTCTGACTGGTGCTTCTGCCTCTTTTTTCCTGCCACTCACCCCAAAAGACTCACACTTATGTGATGCCTCTTGCATTTTCTCCCAATACTATAGTTTGGTATAGAGAGTTATAGAGAGTAAGGCCAAGAATCCAGAGGCTCAGGGCTTGTCAATTACTGAGTCAGGCCTGGACACCAAGACCCCTGAGCTGATTGAAGTAAAAATGCATCAGCATACCCAGGTTGGCCTCTTGGCAGGAGGAACTTCAGAGTCCAGCAGGATCTGTTTGAAAACAGCCAGGGAAAGGCTAAGAGAAAACACAGTCTAGATTTCAGTCCTCTTCACACTTTCTCTGCCCTCTCCAAAGCTGATGGGCCAAGCTCAGTGCCTTCTCTGCTCTTTCCCACAGGACTGGACAACATTCATAGGATCACCGCCCAGGGCCGCTACGAGCTACGAGTGGATATGCGCGATGGTCAGGAGGCTGCCTTTGCCTCCTATGACAAGTTCTCCGTCGAGGACAGTCGAAGCCTGTACAAACTCCGCCTAGGAGCCTACAACGGCACTGCGGGTACCTGGGTCCATGGGCAGGATAAGGGCCTCGATTCCAGCCCAAGCTGTAGCAGGAGCAGCCTCCAGAAAGGCTGAATCCTCTGCTAGCCAGGGAGTATGGTGGGTGGCTGGGCTTGGTTCTGGCCCTGTTCACCCAAACCACTCAGGTAACTGGAAATCAATCTCTTAGGACTTCCATTTCCTCACCTGAAAAATCACAAAAATTGCCTTCTCTTCACTGTGTAGTCAGAAAAAAAAAAATGCAACAAACGCAGTGACAGTGCTCTTAAAGTTTTCTTTAGAAAGGTGTAATATGAGGCAAAACTTGTTTTGCTTGTCTAGATTAATCAACATGAGGTCTTTTCCAGTGAAAGCAAAATCTAATGTCTGGGTGGAAATCTCCCCTGCAAAATCATCCCCAAACAACTGAAAAGAGTATGCCCTCCCTCACTCCCATGGTAACACCCAGCCAAGGAGCAGAGGGCATAACTTAAATATTCCTCATTGGTCACATTTCTCTGTTCCTCCACAAGAACCACGTATGTGATCAGGTTTTCTGTGCAGATTTTTCATAACATTTCTAAGCAGAACCACCTTCTCTATAAGTTCCATTGCATTTATAGTTTTATCAGTAAGTAATATCTGATCTGCTGCTTGGTCCTTGTCAATCTATTTTCTGTGTTCTATTATATTACACATTTCATAAAACCTGTTCTGCCAAACATTCTGTTTGGTACATGGAGTTATTGGTCGTTTATTAATTCCAATTTTAGAGCTAGATGCTGGCATATAATTTAACAACATTTGTATGCCTCTTGGAATTAAGAAGAATATCAAGGTGGTGCCCTTCCAATTACTGTATCCATTCAATTATTTCTCTTCTGGGCCAGGTATTGTTACCCCACAGAGAAGACACGTTTTCAGTTCTTATTGTTCCTATTTGAAAATCTTCTCAATGGCAATCAGACCAACCTGAAGTGCCCCAACAAAAGGCCCAATTTGCCACACTTTGGTCATAAAAGAACCACTGAAATGGAGTGAATTAAATAAGATGTCAGACTAAATTATCTCGAAAATAACCTGATGCTATTCACTACCTAAGATTAGAATGTGCCTATAGAAAAGCCATTATTTATTTCTCCTACAGGAAGGGAAGCCAGTCTTCACATTTCTTCATATGTCTGCCCTTCTTCCCTCCTCTTCCTCTAGCCCCAAGCATTGATGTTTTCCTGTCTAATGTCCCAGCTCTGCGGCCTCTATTCCTGCTCTTAGTCACTGCACACAGAGCTGTTCACCTGCATTCTATACTCATGTCTCAAGGCAAATCTTAACACTGGTTTGGCTGAGCATCACACATTAACTATTTTTTGTCCCTCCCACCCACTATTCAAAGCATAGCCTTTGAAAGATGAAAACCTGGGTTTATTTAGGTTGTACACCTGTAAGGCTACTCCACACAAAAGTTGCTCTTTCTAGGCCATGATGTTTCCAAGAATGAGGAACCCATCCCCTCTCCTTCTGACATTTAATCTTGCCTAATTGTTCTGGGCTTTATCTGTGATTGTTGCTATGTTTTATTGACCCTACTGGCAACAATCCATCTCAAGCCCCCCCCCAAAGTCCAGCCCCTTCTCCTGCTCCCTACTTCTCAGACTGTAAATATCCAGGTCTCTAGGACTCTACTTGGATTAGAACTAAACATCCCAAATCAAATTATCAAGAAGTTGTTGATCAACTCCTAAAAGTTTATCTTGCAAAATGGTGGGGACTCAACTGAAGCCCAACACATGGCCTCTAAAGAACTAAACAGGAAAGAAAAATTATTTAACAAGAAACGATCAGGAAATAACTCACCACACCATAAATGGTACTCATATCCAGTGTGAGGAGTGGTCAGAGAAGAGGGTTCTGGGTAATGGAGGAAGGCTTCATGAAGGCCACAGCATTTGACTAGAATCCAATGGTAAGGAAAACAGGCTCCGAAAAAGCCACAGAAGGAACTGTTTCTGTGGAGGGAAGGTGGCTTTGAAGGTCTGGCTTACCCAGCAGAGGATCCATTCAGAAGGAATAGAAAGAAGATTGGTAGAGGGACCAGCAGTTAGCATAATGGCTATGTCGCTGGACTCCCATGTAGTCGACCACGGTGCAAGTCCCGGACCCGGCGGCTTAAACTCATGCCGGGTGTTTGTGCGTGTGTGCTCAAGATCCTGAGAGGAGAATGGAGGAGAAGGGATTGCGGCATGGCCATCCCCCCTGGGGGGTGATTTCTCCCTTTCTATCTCTCTGTCTGTCTGGCAAGTGCACGCGCCCTATAGCAAAAACCTCTCAAAAAATAACAACAAAAAAAAGAAAAGAAAAGAAAGAAGATTGGTAGAGGAGGGTGGAGCCAGATCCTAAACAGAGGATGGAGCACAGATGGAACAGAGGAATTTAGTCTTACTCTAGTGGGCAGTGGGGAGCTGCTGTAATCCCTGAATGACATGATAGAAGTGGGCTTTGGGGAAGGGCAGCATGACAGTCATGAACAGGATAAAATAAGTCCAAGCAAAGAATAGGGACCAGATGGTGGCTACTACATCCATCCTGATAGGAGAGCATAGGAGCCTTGGCTAATGTCTGAATTAACACAAAGGTGTAAATCAATTTTTTGTTTTGTTTTGTTTTTGTAGAGAGAGATTTTTGGTATAAGGCACATGCACTCACTGGAGAGACAGAAAGTGAGAAATCATCTCCTGGAAGGGATGGCCACACCACAATCCCTTCTCCTCCATTCTCTTCTTGGGATTTTGGCCATGCATGCACACATAACCGGCATAAGTTTTAAACAGTCAGGTCCAGGACTCAAACCATGGTCAACTATATGGGAGTACAGTCACATAACCATTATGCCATCTGCTGGCCCCCAGAAAGGTGTAAATCTGAACAGTGGTTTGAGAGGGAAAAAATAAATAAATAAATAAATAAATAAATAAATAAATAAATAAAAAACAGGGCTTAGTTAATGTATTGAATATATGAGGCAGAAATCAGAAATGGAGCCAGATTTGAGGGAGACCTAAAAAAAACAATACTGAGAGCATATCTGGGATCACAGCAGGCACAACAGAGTGAAATCTGAATCCTTGGAGAATGGAAGGGAAAGAAGAAGAGGATAGAATGGAGACCATAATGTTGCACTGGGCACTCCTGAGGTGATCAGGCCTGCCTATAAAGACCAAGCTCCTACAAGTTAAGTTGTGGTGAGAATTGTTGGAGGCATTAAATGAGCACTGTGAGCATGGTCTCAGAAGCCACAGAATTAGAACCATGGTCTCTCCTAGCATAACGCAATCTTAGAAGTATCAAAACTCACTTTCACCCAAAAAATAGCATGAAACCTCCCACACACACACACATTATCCCTAGCCACAAATCTTCCCAAAAGCTTCACCAGTTGTTATACACAAATTACAGTCTTCTCTCTCACCTCAAATATTCACCTCAGTTGAACATCTTGGACAACATCCCCAATAAAAGCACCCAACCTCTGTTTGCCACTGAGAAAAGGAAAAAAAAAAAAACAAAAAAAAAAACCTCACCACACCTCTTAGCAGTCTATCCCTTTTGTGACTAGCTCTAATATTTAGGTAATGTATCCTTCTATATTTAGCCAATATAGGCCTCTATACAGTCTCCACCACTAATCCTCATACTTCTCCACAGAGTGTGTGTGTAGCCTATCAAATATTGGAGACAGTGATCCTGGGCTGGGTCTCCTCATTAAAGGCTGCTCTCCCCCTGAGAGGCAGGCACTTCTCTGATGTGGTTATGCATTTCTCAGCATCTTGTTTCTTATGGACAGGAACTCTAGCTTGCTAATGTCCTTCTTCACACGTGCCACTAAGTTCAGAATGTAGGCTTTTCGGTGTAGTCTGACCAGGCCTAGAGAACCAGACAGAAGGCCAGTCTGAAGCTACAGTGGTCACCCAGCGCATCTCAGTAAGTAAGGCTCATCACCATCTCCTCAGGAAACTAAAAGAACCCCTGATGTGTTTTTTTTTTTTTTTTTGGGGGAGTTTTTTTTTTTTTCACTATAGGGTGCGTGCGCTCGCCAGACAGACAGAGAGAGACATAGAGACAGAAAGCGAGAAATCACCCCGCAGGGGGGATGGTCACGCCGCAATCCCTTCTCCTCCATTCTCCTCCCGGGATCTTGGGCACACACGCACACACGCCCGGCGTGAGTTCTAAGCCACCGGGTCCGGGACGTGAACCGCGGTCGACTACGTGAGAGTCCAGCGACATAGCCATTATGCTAACTGCTGGTTCCCAAGAACCCCTGATGTTCTGTGTCCCAGTACGGACCTGGAGGAAACAGGGGTGGTGAGAGGGCTGCCTGCACAGAGCTCTGAGCAAAAGGTCGGTGGCTATGAGGAAATGGCTGGAGAGAACTGCACAAAGTAGTCAACCTGGGGTTAGGTGGATAGGAGTTCAGACTAAGCAACAAGAAGGTTTCATAAGTGGAGGCCAAGTTTGCTGGGCATGTGTCAAATATCTGAAAAATCTCCAATAAGAAAATGGCAAATGGACAGTCTCCTGAATACTTCTTTTTGCAGGGGATTCCCTCAGCTATCATCAGGGACGTCCTTTCTCCACGGAGGACAGAGACAATGACGTTGCAGTCACCAATTGCGCCATGTCATACAAGGGAGCATGGTGGTATAAGAACTGCCACCGGACCAACCTCAATGGAAAATATGGGGAGTCCAGGCACAGTCAGGTAGGTGAAGGTCTGCCACAGCTGGGAATGACCCAGAGCCACAGAGCTCAAAGACCCTTAACTTTATGCTTTAAATACACATGGGAGTCTTACGTGATCCTTTTATAAAGGAATGTTTAGAGTTTTGGAATAGGGCAGCCATAAACAGAAAAATAATGCAATAATAATAATCTGGAAAAAATAATGAAAAGCTATTTGAGGATGATGATGGGGAGTTTTAAGGTCTTTGTATTGACTGATATGCATGATATTCCTTTTGGAAAAAGAAATGTAATACACTATAAAGTTATATGTGACTCAAGGTAATATAAACAACACTATGATAATAATAAATAAAAATTTTAAAAAATGCAGACACTGAGTTAAGGACAGGACAAAGCCAGAGACAGGAAAGGAAAGCACCTGAACCTAGGAACTAGAACTCACCCAGAGAAGTCCTTGGCAATCAGTCAAGTTCTATTTCATTTCCTCTCTATTGGATCCTACAGCAAGCTTAGCAGCTCCTGGGACAGTGTCAGACTCAGCTTCATCCTAAAAGGGGTCCCAGAAGGGAAGGATCAGAAAGTGCAAACTGGACTATCTTTCCCCATCAGAGACTACAAGTCCATGGCTGGGCTTGGTGATAAGGAGACCAGCTGGACTAGCAGTGACTGCCCCATGTTAGCAGGAGAGCTGTGTCCAGGGAAACCCTTCCAGTCTCGGCAAACCAACATGGTTGGTCACTCTAGGTGGAGCCACCTGAGTATCCTATAAGGAGTGGACAGGCAAAAACAGTTCTTCTCCTTCAAATGCTTCCACAGCATGGGGATTTTGAAATTCAACACTATTAGTGCATGCAACACCCGGAAGCCAAAAACAGAAAGGTGGCAATAACAAATGACCTGCATGGTGCTCCCAGGGAAGACCTCAGGCCTCAGGCAGGTTTCAAGGGAAAGCTGGAAAGAGACTCTGCTCCTTTGACTTCATTGAGAACTCAGCCACAAAGCATTATGTACCTAAAAATTGCGAAGTCCACATATTGGATTCCCTGGTCTTTTCATTCCTTCTTTTCAAATGAGGTGCTTCACAGTGGGGAAGAGTGATTTGATGTGCTTATCTTTCTCATGTCCAGGGCATCAACTGGTACCACTGGAAAGGCCACGAGTTCTCCATCCCCTTTGTGGAAATGAAGATGCGCCCCTACAACCACCGTCTCATGGCGGGGAGAAAACGGCGGTCCTTACGGTTCTGAGCAGTCAACAGCAGCCAGCCAACTGATCTTTTCTGTCATTTGTTTGTATTTTATAATATGAAACAAGGGGGAGGGCAATAGTAATGTGCTTTGCAACATATTAAGAATATTGAAGGAAGCAGGGATGTGGCAGGAACCGGTGACTACCATCTGCTCATGGTGTCTGCTGCCCTGGAGCCAGACCTCAGCCTCCATTCTCCCTCCCATCCAGTCATCCTTAATCTTCCCCTCCTTTCCCACCAAGGAGGAAGAGTGTGACATTTTCTTAAAAGAACCATTCCAAGGCAAATGATGGCACAGATTGTTTTGTTGACAGGCACACACTTTCTTTTTCTGTCTCCTTTCTGAGATGCCCTTCACCTGCCAGGTATTAGTGAGCTAGTCACCATGGCCAGGTCTCATACCAGCCCCGAGAAGATGCCTCTGCAAGAGAGCTTTGCCAACACTCCCTGTAAGAGGAAACAGATCAACCGTACACAAGTCCTTTTAATGAGCCAAGGAGTCTTATCTTCTGACATTCTTACACTCACCAGCCAAGTATGCTCTGTTACATTTTAAGAATAGCAGCCTCCTTTCCAGACCTGATAGATTTTTGCTTAATTACATTCTACCTTAGATTCTACAGTCCCACAAACCTAACCACTGTTTTGGAATCTAATTCCCAAGGGGTTGCCTGCTCCTGGTTCTAGGATTAGAAAATGGTGGTGTCTCTGAGTCCCCTGCCCTTGGGTCAGTCAGACAATAATTTTCTTTGGGGGGTTGGGGAGAAGTTGATTTTTGTTTTTAACACTTTAGAGTCAGGCGTTGAGGAAAGGGCAGAAGAGGCAGAACTCAGGGTACCTGCCACAGAGATTATAAGTCCCATGGGAAACACAGGTCTTCCCTAGCTTTGTTTTCTCTATTTCTTGCTCAATTTGTTTTCTGATTTGCAAACTAAAGGCCTTCTTTCTGTTTTCAGCAAGGCTGTCCTCAGTATAGGGGGCTTAGTAAGAATCAGAAAAAATAACATTATGTGACCAGCCATCCATGGCTCTGAATGATAGTCCTAGGGACAAGTGGCATTTTTGTTTTTGAGATTTTTTTTTCTTTTTTGGTTCTGTGGAAAGCAGAAGTGACCCTTTTAATGAGGTGAGATCCTGAGAAACCTTTCTCCATCTTCTTTTATTATTCTGCCTTTGAGAGGGAAAATGAAAAGTACCAGAGGAAATTGCATCTAGAAATCCAAAGGTGAATAGGGGAGGACTGTCAGCCTACCTCTCATTTTATAAGACGTGCTATCTTCACTAGCATGATTTTATTTTTTAAGCCCAAGAGAGCAAGGGACTCAAGAAGCCATGCCTTTCAACCTCTCCTCCAAATCAGATGTCAGCTGCAACCCTCCCTGCCACAGCTGCCCAAATTTGTGTCCAGTTCCCCCAGCAATTCTCAATCCCTTTCCTTGCTCCATCCTCAAGGCCCTGTTCTGTTTTCTGTAATGTCTACGCTGGTCAAACTGGGGCAGCTTATACTTTTGCCAACCAGTTACTGGATGGGTCTAGGAGTTAACAATTTCCACACTATAACCGAGCTTCAGTACACAGGAAGGGACAGTGCCTTGGGCTGAGGCTCACACTCTACTATTAGAGGATGGAGTCAACTTGCCATGTGCTGTGAGCATCATTCCTTCAGCAGTTGTGGAGGCCCTGTCGTCTGCTGCAGTGTGGACAGGACTGACACACCCAGAGCTGAAAAGTATAGGTGGTGTATTCATTTCTGAATTCATCATGGACTTCCAAAAACTAGGAGAAGGAGGAAGACACAGAATCAAATCCTTCAGGAAGCCTCTAAATTAAATAAGATTTAGCTAGAGAGTGTGACAATGAGTAGGAGGAAACACACTGAATGAGAACCTTTGGTATAGCCCCACCTCCACCATTTTGATGGGCATCTAACACCAGGTAGGCTGTTTCTCCTCTCCAGGCCTCACTTCCCTTATTTGTTGAATGAGAGACTAGACTAGAATGATTTCTCATTCCCCTTTCAGTTTTAACAGTCTGTAAGGCTAGTCTATGATTGGAAAGTCTGAATAGAAATTGGTGTTGGTGAGAAAACATAAAGAAGTAATGAAAATTCCCCAGGAGCCCTGTTTTATGAAAGAAAGAAAGAAAGAAAGAAAGAAAGAAAGGGCAGAAGATTCAAAGAAAGAAAGAAAGAAAGAAAAAGAGGAAGGGCAGAAGATTCTGAAGTCATAAGTAAACACACACACACATGCGTAAGGAAACAGTGAAGAAGAGGTAAGACCAGAGGCTGAGTGCATCTGGTCTGTAAAAGTGGAGTCCAGGGATTGAGGAGGTGCAGAACTGCCCACCTCATCAAGGGATCTGAAACAGAGAAAGATGGTACATGGTCAATTCAGATGAAAGTCAAGAGACATCAGGGCAAATGGAAACCGCCTTTTATTGGAACCATTTTACCCTAAGGGACATTCTTATAAACAGTATCAGCAGCATTGCCTACATTAATTTTAAAGAATTTTAAAGCAAGAAGGGAACTTCAAAGATTAGCTTATCCAACTCTCTATAAAAGGATTTATAGAGTCCTTTCATTAAGTAGAGTGATTTTCTCACAAATTTTCACCATTTTTAAGAGTCTCTCTGCCCTCCTCTCTTCCCAAGGTCCATGGTCAACTTGACTCAAAGCTTCTTAGCTTTACTCACTTAACTTCTTAACTGAGCTTCTTAACTAAGAAGCTTCTTCTTAAGCTTCTTAACTGGCTCCTGTTTTGTTCCTCCAAGCACATGTGCTTGTCTCAGAGGAGGATCCAGTAAGCAATACTCACAGAGCGCTAGCCCTGAGCACACTAATGTTGTCCTTAAGGATTCAGAAGGAATAGGAGTGGACCCTTCCAGAAGGCAGTTCAATTGCAGGGACATCAGGATATGTATTCATACCCAAACCAAAAACCCACAACGCACCAATGACTGCAAGAGACCCAAGATCCAGATGGTTTCTCCTTTCTGCATTTTTCTCATCATATAAATATAGTTTCAAACATATTAAACTCACATTCCTTGGAGTCATTTCTGCAGGGTGAAGGGGTCAGGTGTGAAGAGAAGCTATCAAGGATGACAAAAACTTGAAAACCATTGGCCTTTAGACCTCATTTAACTGGTAAAGCAGACTTGCTAAGTGGGACCACCAGGTGGCGCTTCAAATGCCCAGCCTCCTCCGGACGGAGGAGGAAGAGCGAGTCTCTCCAGGTTTCCAGGAGACGGTACCAAACCAGGATCCAGGAAAACTGACCTACTGATTTCTATGGGAGGTGGACTTGTAAAAACAACAATACAATGGCATCAAGAAACTGTAAATTTCCATGAATATTTAAGTACACCTCCCACACCTGCCAACCACCCCCCCCCCTCCTAAAGTGGTGCAACCCCTCACTCCCAACTCCCAGAACCACGGTTGCCAATGAGTTCAGTGCCAAGGTGAACAAACCTAATTACCATTTTACTTCTGGACTCTAGTCCCGAAAGAGAACTAGAGATCAAAGGGCATGACATGATTACAAAACCTTCTCCAAGAGCTTTTACAAAAGCATCCATCAAGAAAGGTTTTGTGAGCTCCTCTGTGTCCTCTTTCTCTGGAGAAAAAAAATGGCACCTGTGAGAAGTGGGTACACCAGGCTGCCGGGCGAGGGG